CGTGGAGAAAATTTTATTGCAGCTTCTATACCCCATGGTAACAGAAGATGTGTGATCTTCCTCATTTGTAGAATCTTTCTTCCTTTTGTATCTCATCAGATACATGACACAAGTCATACTTTTTGGCAGCCGCACGAATGGATAACTGACCCTTCATAACCTCTTCAAACGCCTGTTCGTATAAATTTACTTCTTTCGTGCCCCGTTGCGTCTTGCGTTTTCTTGTTCGCAGCATTCTACGAAAAAAAATACAAATAACATTGTAAAAAACAACACTAAAATAAGGCCAACCAAACGGGATTAGGTTAAGTTGAAGTTGTCCCCGAGCAACGGTGACAATTGTAACGCTACAACTGTCCCCAGGCATTGATGTTACAATTGTCCCCTAATGATATTTTATGATTCGAAGTAAATTTTTTACAGAAATATCTGGATGAAAGTCAATCGTAATTATGCAAATCATCAACATAGATAATCACTAAAACATATAAAAATAAAACCTTATACCTTTGGCATAAAGAACAAAAAGTATTTCAGATTTTATGCACGTAAGAAAACTTACTTTAGGAAGGAAAAAAGTAACTTCTTCTTCTGCACACGTGCACGTTCCGCGAGGGGCAGCAATGAACTAAGGAACAAATGCCGCTCCATCTAGCGAATCTCGCCTCGCGGTCCCACACACGTACCTTTTATAGTTTAAGAAATATTCACGATGTTACAACTGTACCCTGTTACTTTTGTCCCCGGTCTACCCTAAATGCTAAAACCAGCCTCTGCTAATTTTCTCAAAGACAGTAGATTCTCTGATACATCTCCTGTTGCTATTACTTCTGTTAATCTAATTTCTTCCTCTTCTTTTTCTCCCGTTCGCAACAAAAGATCTCCTTTACCGTCTATTACAATATTTGCAAATTTATTTTTACTCGCACATTTGATAATCTGATTTTCACACCTTTCAAAGTTTGACAGAATCACGCTTTTATTAACAATATGATCGGTTGCACCCGAATCTGCTATAAAATTAATTAATTCTTTTGAATTATCTCTACTCTTTATTAATCTAATCGTACCTGACTCTGATTTATCTTCTTTAGCTGTGGCGGTCAGTGTTGCTTTCTTTGCTTGAGCCTTGTTGTTTAGTTTAACTATCTTTCCTCTATTATTTACTCTTTTGGTGCTTGTTTGTTCGACTTTATTCGGCTTATTTTTATTAAAATTTTTATTTTTATACCTTTTTCCTCTAAATCTTCCAGCCTGTGCTCTGGCGTTTGGACAATTGTCTTCTTTGTGACCTCTAACTTCTTGGCAATGGTAACAGAACCAAGCTTCTGTTTCAATGAGCAGGCAGTCCTTAGCCATATGTTCTAGCTTATTGCACCGGTAGCACTTTACAGGTTTTCCGTCTGCTTCTAATTTCGCTCTCTGTGCTCTAGCCTCTGGTTTTTCTAATTACTTTTTCTCTATACTCTTTGTTTCTGCTTCTAACTGCGTAATAAATGATTTTATTTCATCAATATTCATTTCTTTTTGAGTTGTTTGTCTTCTGATCAAATCGGCATTCCTCAATTCTGGTACATTAAAAGCTACCGCCTGATAGAATGACGATCTGATTTCTTGCTCTGTGAGAGGCACTGCATCCTCACATGATTCATATTCTCTAACTATAGAGTCAAAGCGTTCGCAAAAATCATTTATTTTTTCATCTTTCTTTATTTTAATCTGATAGAAACAAGTTCTTACAGATGTATGAGTTACATTTACTTCATTCTTCTTATATTCTCTTAATTTCTTTAAAACCTCTGATGGATTTTTTTCATACAAAATTCTCTTATGATAATTTTCATCTATATGATTGTTTCAAACTCAAAAGACCAGAAACTCATCTGGGTCAGAAGCCAGACTTGTTTCAATGCGGTGCGGGGTAGGGAGGTTCGCGCTTCGTTTAGGTGCGCGGTAGGATCGTAGGTTCGCAGAACGGGCAATTTCAGTCAGTTTAAATCGTGTTGTTTGTACTGTGAGAGAGGTCTTTATTTGCTGAGGTGTCACAAACATGGTTTTACTTGAACACCACAATGCTGGCACTTGTTATTCGAATGACCGTGTTGAACGGTGACACGGCGGCTTTACACCAAAATGGCCGATAACGGCGCACAGCGCACGAGGCGCTTACAGAAATGATCGCGGAATGTCTTGCACGCGGTAGAACGGCCGAACGTGGCACTTTACACGCACAACGTGGTATCTGAGTTTTTCTCGCGAGGGGGGACGGCCGATCACGGCGCAGATCACTCGCAACCCGCAAGATTGCACTTAAACTCTCGCGAAGGGTGACGGCCGAGCGCGGCGCAGATCACTCGCAATCGGCGAGATTGCACTTGAGCCTTGAACTTTCGCGAGGGGTGACGGCTGAGCGCAGCGCAGATCACTCGCAACCCGCGAAGTTGCACTTGTCTCTCGCGAGGGATGACGGCCGAGCGCGGCGCAGATCATTCGCAACTCGCAAGATCGAATACGATTCTCTCGCGAGGGGTGACGGCCAAGCACGGCGCAGATCACTCGTAACTCGCGAGATTGAATACGGCCGAACGCGGCACTTAGGGCCGTATTCATAGTCGAATCTCGCTCTTAAGACGATCTTGGTCAAGGCGGCCTTATTCAATCAAAATCGTCTTAAGATTGGTAGATTTCATAGTCGTAAAACAAGGCGATCTTCACGAAGAAGATTTCGCTCAAGGAAGTCTTATTTGATTTGAGATCGCTTTGGCGAAGACCGTACTTAAAACCATGCTTATTCTCGATCAGCTGTTTCCGTACTCTTTCCGTTGGTTCCTCCAATAGGAACTTTGGATTTATTATTATCCGCACATTCATGTATGCAATCAATGGACAAATGAGATAGTTTTGAAGTGAGGTTAACCGATAAACTCTTTCGATCGATACAAAGTGGGACAGCGCAGACCAGCACGGTGCAATCCAAGGCGTTAAGATATGTAAGTAATATTAATTTTCAAACAAATATAACTTTGGGCTACTGCACAAGCTTACTTTATGCTAAGTTTATTGATATTAAACTTAGATACGTATGTAACTTTAAACTTTAATCAACGCAGGCTTATTCTTTAACTCATAACGACAATTTGTTATCGTTATAATGTTTTACTACGTGAAAAAGCTGCGCAAAGACATTGCAACGATAACGAAGTGTCGTTAAGAGTTACAGAATAGGCCTACTGCGTAATATACGTTACGGAAGAGTTTGTGCGTAGTAGTTAGATTTTAATAAAAGAATACAGTCAGTGCATGTGTAATCATTAATACAAAATATTTTATTTTTACAGAAATCTTGTGACCGTTCTGACCGCCCTCCTGTTTCTCTTTGTGCTGTATCGGAGGCGGATGTGACGTTTCTATACATGTAAGTATCTCAGGTTAAACGATTTTTGTAACAGATTACCATATTATATGCCTTATTAAACTTTCAATGTATGTTATATTATTTATATTTTTTGGACTTACTCCACAAATGTTACAACAATTCGAGGACTTCTGATCAGTTAAAATGTTACATACTTTGCCATTTATTATTGTACATTGGATGTCGAAAGTTATAGTAAATATGATATTTTCTATTGTGATGCATGAGGATTCCAGTTTGTTGAAAATATCTGAATAAAATTTATATTCATTAATTACAACTGAATGACTTTCTTTTATAAATTAAAACTTTATTGGGCGGCAATAACTAACAGATGATGATCTTTCATTTTTCCAGATAATATTATTTTCAGCTACTAACTGAATCGGAACAAAAGTAATTATAAATACAGCGTTATCACAGAAAATATTTGTTATAACTTCATCATCTTCATCATCAGTATTAGCTGATTGGTCTTTTTCTAAACTAACGGTTTCTGCTAGCCATTTCTGCCTAGTTGTTTGCTGTCCGGACGCGCCATCCATTTCCTATTTTCCATGTAAACTTAACATTTTATCGCGTAATTCGTGGAGCTTTTTCTTACTTAACGTTAAAAGTATCCTTTTAGTGGTATGGTTTAATAATGACTTAACATCTACATTTGCACCAAAATCGTTGAAATTCAAATCTGTTGGGTAGCACTTCTCTTTTGCACTCTGAATAACATTATATGGAGGATATAATTTACTACCATGTAGTTTCTTATTATATGACCGCAGCTATTTCCCGGCCGGCTCGGCCCGGAGCGCGGAAAAATGGCGCGAAGCGCGGCGGCGATATGGATCGCAAAGCGTGGATAACGCGGCGGAAGCGGGTCGTCGGCCGAGACACACTCGGCGAGGGCAGAGAATGCCGGAGGCGCTCTACCGTCTTGTTCGGATAGGCTTCGGATGATTTGGATAACGAGAAGTTGGTCCTTCGCCGAGACACACTCGGTGAAGACAGAGAATTCCGGAGGCGCTCTACCTTCGTATCCGGACGGCTTCGGGTGATTCAGATAGGTGCGAAAAGCTGGTCGTTAGCCGAGACACACTCGGCGAAGACAGAGAATGCCGGAAGCGCTCTACTTACGTTCGGACTGGCTTCATGCGGGAATTCAGGATTGGTGTTGTCGGGAAGACGGATGATCGGGAATCGCGCTCTGTGCCAGCAACGCCGGGCTTATATACGCGTCGCGGCGGCGTCGCGGCGTGGTGGGGGTAGCGACGGCGATCGCGAGCGCCGGGCCGGTGCGGCGGAACGATCGGGGATCGCGGCGCCCCGACGCCGTGATTGCGTTCGGCGGTCTTCGGCCGCCTTCGGCACCGCTCGGCGCGGTGAAGCAGTTGCCGCGTTTAAGTCCATTCGCGGACTTCGTAACGTGTGAGAACGATTAAAATACGCTGGGCACACCGTGCCCGTTCTTTACCCCCGCGGGTGGTCGGCGGGGTGGTCTCGGCGTGGTGTTCCTGCCGGAACGATGCATGTTTGGGGGTGCATCGTTACATCACCCCCCTTCCTCCCTGGAAAACGCGAATTCGGCGCTCTACATTTTTGGCCCGATTTCCCGTATGCTGCGGACGGAGCCGGTCGCATTAAATCGGATGTGCCATCGTTTTCCTCCCGACCGCGTTTTGTGCTGCCGGGAGACGTGCGCGTGGTAGTGGGGCACCCACACGATGTGCCCGTCCTCCACAGCTACCGGGATCGGGGGTGGTAGTTGTGTCCCTTCCGCCCGTAACGGTTGGACGTCGGCTGGTGCTGGCCGCGGCGGCGGCGGCGCGGAGATCCTGGCTGTGGTTGCTTTCGGCGGCGCCATTGGGCCGGTGATCGGTAGCGGCGGAGGTTTCGTCGATGCCGGCGAGTTGTTGGCCGGTGTCGGTGGCGGTGCCAGGGGCTTGGTTGTTAGGCGGCCCCGTATGGCCGCAAGATCGAGATTCACCCTCTCCACGTTGGTGATCTTGGGTCCGGATTGTGGCCTCGCCTGGCTTAGTGGAGGTGGCGGGGTGGTGAGCCACTCCAATTTCCGTCTTTGCTGCGTGTCCAAGCGCTGTACCGCGCAGCCGACCGTCGGCACGGTTTTTCGTGTCGGCGGTGCGACTGCGGGTTTTGCGAGGATGGCGGCGGTGGCGGCGGTGGCGGCGGATCCCGGAGCGAAGAGTTTTGTCCACGTCGTCCCGAATCCTGGACATACCGGGTCGTATTCTACCAGCTCTGCCAGGATTGCTTCGATCTCGGCGAGGATATCGCGCTGGGTTGTTGACTCGCTCTGGTCGGCTGCCATGGCTCGTCTGTGAGCTTTTCTTTTTCGGCGCCGGTATTTATTTTCCTTTTTGGGAGTAGAACGATTTGTTTTTCGCCTAATTTTCGGCTCCGTCGTCGTCCTCCAAATTTGTTTCGTTGTTGTTATTGTCGTTATCTCCCGGTTCCGTGTTTTCATCGTTGTCGGTTTCGGTTTCGGTACTGCCGTCGTCCTCGATGTCATTTTCGCCGGTGTCGGTCTCGGTGTCATTGTCCTCTTCATTGACGTCAGGCGCGGGGGCGGCGGGCGCGGGTTTTAAATCTTGTACGTGGATATGGCGGCTCCACTTGCCGCTTTTGTTGCGGAGATCGACGATTACCGGTGATACAATTCGGCGCTCCTCGAGGGGCCCGCGGAACTTCGGTGTTAGCTTGGCGTTAAACGCGGCGGCTTTGCTGGAGAGTGGGTATTCGCGTTTCCATACCCACTCCCCGACCTTCGGTGCCCACTGGCGGTGTCGTAGATTGTAATATTTTTCCTGTTTCTGGAAAGCGCGCGCCAGGTGTACTCTCACGAGTTCGTAGGCCTCCTCGAGGTGTCGGCGCGTTTCGTCCGGCAAAGCGGCCGCGGCACTTGGGGCGGTCTCCCGGTTGAAAGGGGAGACTGGTTCTCGGCCGAATATGAGATACGCGGGGGTGTAGCCGGTGGTTTCGTGGCGGGCCGTATTATACGCGAATTGAAGTTCGGGGATGCGTTCATCCCAATTACGGTGGTTTTGGTCGACGTATTGCGAAATCATTGTTTTTACAACCCGGTTTGTTCGCTCGACCGGGTTGCAATGCGGCGCGTGGACCGGTGCGTATACGTGTCGGACGTTATGGGCGGCGAGCATTTTTGCGAGTTTACTGGAGCGGAGCTGCGTGCCGTTGTCCGACAATATCGTGTCGGGGCAGCCGTGGCGGAATATAATCGCTTCGGCAATGTGCGTGGTTACTGCGGTGGCGGTGGCGCGGCGCAGGGGGCGCATCTCTAACCACTTGGAGAAGCGGTCCTGCATTGTTAGGAGCCATATGTGGCCTTGCTTCGATCACGGCAGCGGTCCGATTAGGTCGAGGGTGACCTGTTGCCACGGGCGGGTGACGGACGTGGCGTGTAGTGTCCCCGCCGGTCGGGTTTGCGCGACTTTGTGCCTTAGGCACCGAGGGCAGTTTCGCACGTATTGTGCGATTTCCCGGAACATACCGGGCCAGTAATATAACTGGGCGACGCGAGCGATCGTTTTCGCGATGCCGAGATGTCCGGCGGTGGGAGCGTCGTGATTTCGGCGGAGGATCTCGGGGCGCAGTTCCTTAGCTACGCATTCCTTTCATTGGGTTTCGGGCGGGGTTTCGTTAAAGTCGAGGTTGTGCAATAATTGCCGGTACAGTTTCCCGTCCCTCACCTCGTAATCGGGGTGTTCCCGGGGAGCGTCTTGCACCGCTCGTAGCGTCCGGCGGTACCACGAGCAGCGGGGCGGGGTCGTGACGGCGGCGGCGGTGTTTTGACGCGACAGAGCGTCCGCGACCCGGTTGAGGGCTCCTTTGCGGTACTTGATGTCTATATCGTATTGGTGGAGCTCGAATGTCCAGCGCCCTAACCTGCCGGTGGGTGCATCTAATTTTTGCAGCCAGCGGAGGGATTGGTGGTCGGTAATTACGGTAAATGAGTATCCTTCCAGATACTCGCGCATTTGCCGTATTCCCCAGATCACAGCAAGGCATTCGAGCTCGGTCGCGCTGTAGTTTCGTTCGGCCTGATTCAATGTGCGGCTTGCGTATGCGATAACTGTCTCCCCCTCCGGGAAGTTTTGCGTGAGCACGGCCCCGAGGCCGGTCGTGCTTGCGTCGGTTTGTAAGATGAAGCGTCGCGTAAAATCTGGGCACGAGAGGACCGGCGCGGAGGTCAGAGTATCTTTTAATTTCTCGAACGCGGTATTCTCTGCCTCCCCCCAACTCCAGCGGGCGTGCTTTCGCGTCAGGGCGGTGAGCGGTGCGGCGATGGTCGCGAAGTCCTGGATGAATCGTCGGTACCACGATGCCACCCCCAGGAATTGCCGGATTTGTTTTACGGTTTGCGGCCGTGGCCACTGGGCGACTGCCCGCACTTTCTCAGGGTCGGTACGGATCCCTTCGCAATCGACTATATGGCCGAGATATTGTAGGCGGTCGACGCAAAATCTGCATTTATCCGGGTTGAGTCGTAAACTGGCTGCGCGGAGGCGCCGGAATACTTCGCGTAAGATCCGGAGGTGTTCTTCGAATGTTTCCGTGATAATGATAATGTCGTCGTATACGAAGACGTGCGGTTCGAGTTCCGGCCCGAGCACGGTATCTAGCAGCCGCTGGAACGTCGCGGGGGCGGAGTGTAGGCCGAACGGCATCACCTTAAAATGGTAGAGCCCCTTCCTCGGTACGGTAAACGCGGTGATCGGTCGGCTGGGTGGGGTGAGCGGCACCTGCCAGTACCCGCTCTTGAG